CGACCTCGCACCATGAACCTCGCCTGGCTTGTCCGAGTTGTGAGAGCGTAAAACCCTAAACCCTAAAGCCCTATGCCCTGAGGTCCGGTCTCAGTTCGACTTCCGCGGGCTCTCCGTGCTTCCCAGCGAGTGCAGCTGCGCGCCGCGCCGTCGCAGCTGCTGGGGCTTTCTATTGTTTAGGGTTTAGGGAAGTTTAGGGTTTAGGGAAGTTTAGGGTTTTGGGATGTTTAGGGTTTAGGGAAGTTTAGGGTTTAGGGATGTTTAGGGTTTAGGGATGTTTAGGGTTTAGGGATGTTTAGGGTTTAGGGTTTAGGGATGTTTAGGGTTTAGGGATGTTTAGAATTTGCCATGGATTTCAAGGTTTCATAGGGATGTTAAGTATACAGTGTTACAGGGTTTCATTAAGGGATAAGCTTGCTTTGAACTAGGGCGTCTGGATGCTCCCCAAATCCAATCTTCATCCCGTAAGTTGAGTGTTCAAGCCTTCGAGAAGCTACCCGCCGGCTTCCGGCTTGGCAAACTGAGATGATAAGCAGTGACCTTCTGGAAGTTTCAGAAAGCAGGGACCCCAATGTAGACGCTGGTAGTAGGATCCATATAAGGATCCGAAATGTCGGGACCCCAAATGACCCTTAAATTTTAGATCCTGATTCATTATGCGTGACCATGAGTGGGTCGCCCACTTCCGCTTCGCAGGCAAGCTGACGCTCTGCCATGGGTGGTGCAACTTCCAGGCTGCCAGATAAGCACCGACAAGAAGAGCCCAATACCCCAGAGAATAAGCAAAATCCTTCAGAAGGTAAGTTGAAATGCTGTCGCTTACTGGTGCACCGGGTTTTGTATGTACCTCCTGCTAAACAATCTGAGCACAGGTCTCTCGGCCGCAATTGGTTCTACATTGTAGTGTACGAGTGATACATGATGTCGCCGTCATAGTAGTAGCCGTTTTTTTTTCGTAGTCGTAGTCGTCGTAGCAATTGTAGTTGTAGCTATAGCTGTAACTGTAGTCCTAAGCGGTGGTGATACGGTCATAGCGGTAGTGGTGGTGGTGGTGGTGGTGGAGGTGGGGCTAGGAGTAGGAGTAGAAGCAGGGGTGTGAGTAGGAGGAGTAGTAGTTGTGGTGTGGTAATGGCATTGGCAGCAGTAGTGGTAGTAGTGGTCGAACAAAAGCTTAGTTGTAGAGTAGCAAAGCAGTATTGTAGCATCGCCGTATGTAGTATGGTCTAGTAGTCCAGTATACTAGCATGGTAGTCTGGTGGAGTCGTAGTCGTAATATTGTGGTTAGCTGGCTTTTTGGTAGGTGGGTTAGGTTGGGGTTGGGTGGATTAGGTTAGGGTAAGTTAGGTAAGGCCTTGATTTTGTTTGAAGTGGGTTAGTTGGTTGGTTAATTGGTTGGCTGGTTAGTTGGGTGGCTTGGTAGCCTGTCAGTGGAGCCTTGAGCCCTGGGAAGAGCCTGATACCCTCACCTAAAGCATCCACCCCGAATCGTACCTTGACCAGACCATCAGCCGAGGGGACTATAGAACGAATATTCCGGCCGAAAACACGGTAAGACAGGTACGAAACTTCACAACAAACAGGGTGGACCTAATTTCATAAATGGTAGCAGGGAATGGGGCTCTTCGGAGATTTGCGTGCAAAAGTCTGGAGGTGAGGATCAAATCGCGAGGTGATTGTTGAGGATTCTTGTGGGGCACGCGATTTCAAGGGAGTGATCTGAGCGGCTTGCTTGATGACGGGGCAGCTCTTTCATGAAGAGTACTGTATTGGGAGCTCTGATTGGTTTCTTTGGGCCCTAGTTCGCACGTGCACGGGGGCAGGTGCCCTGGTTCTGACCACGGGTCGGACTCAGAGTCTGGAGCTGAGTTCCAGATCGAGGCCTTCGGCCTTGTTTTAGTTTGGGTTTCAGGGCGGATGTTGTCGGGTATGTAAGTTATACCACCTCGACGCAGCTGAAAACACGAAGTGCTCCTGGGTTGCAGGGTTGCTTCAGCGCTACCTCTCCTCGACTGACAATGCCGATGCCCAAGTGTAGAGTCGAGTCGCTAGTTGTTGCGAAAGCACTTCAGCCACAGCGACGGCTGAAACTCAACGGCTGAAGCTGCGAATACTCTTTTGCCTTCGTGTCTCTCACAATATCACTCAAGCTGAGGCGGCTGGGTCGAGCTCCACTTCGCGCATGGCGGCAAAGGCGAGGCCTGCGCATGGACTCACGGGGACACGAGTTCTCCGGGTTCTTTCACGCGCATGACATGGCTCCAACATGCTCCAGTGTATCAGGCCCGTATAGTTCCGAATATGACTCTACCACGGTATACCCCAAAACCCTATTCCTACTTTTTGAGGCCCAAAAAGTAAGCAACTCGCCCTGAGGTTGGGCGCCTCTTGCCGAGTTTGTCAACGACAACCGGCACGGCTGGCATGGAGATGCCTGGGAGCACTGCAGGGGGGCGGAGGCTTGTGCTCCCGGGTTCCCGGGCTCCAGATTGCAATAATGCTATTTGCAAAACCCAAGTCTAATGATTAAGGCCTATAGCACTTTCGGTTGAATGATTTTGGGGTCGAGGATTAAGGGACATCGCTTTCCTTCATGCCCTTGCTTTTACAGCTGTGCCATCAGAGGGTGCATATCCAGGCGTGAGCCCAACAAGCCTGTCGCAAAAAGAGACATGGCCCCTGGGGGCTGAACATGATGGCCTCGAGCAGTTTTGTTTCATGTGATTTTTTTTCTGCATGCTCGTGCCAGCAATTGCAACAGACGGCAAAGAGCAAATTTTGCGCATGTTGGTTTGACTTTTCCTGCAGTGCAGGCTGCCATCGCGGCGCATCAGGAAGCGGCTCGAGCAGCAAGCTTGCTTCTTATGCTTGCATCAGATCTAAAATAAGTCTGTTGCATTTTTGGATTAGGGGGCCAGCACGAGTTTCTTCATTGTTTCCAGAAAAGTCTTGCTTGTGGTCGGCTTTGCGGCCAAAAGTGGCTGCGCCGATATTTCTGGCAAGTGTGAAGCGCCCCCTTGGCCAGGAACTAGGTCGCCCCGACCAACACAGCGGCATCAGTTTCTACAGGGCTGTCCCTACATTTCAATACTCCTTCTCTCCGATTTAGATTGAGGGAGTTCATATTGGATATCCATATTCGAAATGTCTGCTCTTGGGGTTAGTATTTTTGGATCTACTGAGTACGGCGCTTCCTTTTGAGCTGGTTGCGAATTCGGCTTTGTCATACTTTAATTGAGCTCGGTCAGAAGTCAACTTAAGTTACCATCGTAGGGTCTACGACACAGAGTCTACGAAGCTCACGTAACCCGTAACACAACATCTTATGGTCTCGTTGTCGTGGTACCTGAGTCGTTGTGAAAGTGTCGCTCGGCGACAGCAGAAAGTCTTCGTACGAGGGCTCCCTTGTGACATCTGCTTTCGGTTTCGGTCCAGCTGCGGCGCACACTGAATCCCGAAAACCGTCAGTATGATCAGACCTGACCAACACGGAGCAATTGTCTGAATGGAGCAGCTCCCAGTCAGGATTCCGTATGGATCTGTGTGGTCGACTTGTCATCAACGTTGCTGCTGCCAGTTCTGCGCTACTGGTGATGGTGATGATGATGATGATGATGCTGCTTATGGTGTCGGCTGACGCCCCGTCCTTCGAGCTTCATTGATTGGGACACTGCAGCGGGCGAGGGATGGAGGAGGTCAGCTGTACTGCTAAGGAGCTGCTGCATGTCGCGCGGCAACCCCCAGTACAGCCGACTGAATTGGCTCAAGGACCCTCGTCGGCCGGCAGAGCTGTTCCATTGAAAAAACATGTAGCCCTGCAGAGGGGCGGGTGGGGCACAGTGAAGACGAAGACACCCCGTGAAAGCTTGAAGACCGTGTCTGATGCCAGGAAGCTTTCGGGTAGAGAAGTCCGGCCAGCAAGCGATGCTTTGCACGAGTTGGTATGGCATCGGGTTGGGCGTTTGCGTGCAGGATGCGGAGTAGTGGAAACAGAACCCCGGATAATTAGACTGGACCAGGGTTTGCAAGGTTTGACGTTCTGCCCTCTGTCCGAATGAGATTGAATCTCGCAATGCTAAGACCGATTATGCCGAGTATGCTTTTTTGACCATACGAGCACATATTTACGTTCATCAAGGCATGTGTGGCTGCCGGACGTGCTGACGGGCCGCCTGCCCTTGCTTCTGGTCCTCCACGGTTCAAGGCCCGGGTTGTATGCACAGAACTCACAGAAACGATTATCTAGTGATGTTTACCTTACCAGTCATGCCAGGCTTACATTGTTGCTGATCCTGCTGGCTTCTGTCCTGCCCCTCCAACTGCTTCTCCGCACACCAGCACCAGCACCTCCGCCCCTGCCCGCGCGATTGCTACGCTCCTAACCCTCCTACCACTCCTCCCCCTACTTCTACTACCAGTCTTTCTGCTCCACTGCTACTCGCTACTGTTCTCCTACTCCTACTGCCACTGCAAGAGCTACAGCTCCTGCCCCTGCTTCTGCTCCTGCTCCTGCTGCCGCTGCGCCTACTACTGCTTCTGCTGATTCTTCCATTCCTGCTCGTGCCTGTAGGGCTCCTAGTCCTAGTACTTCAAGTACTACTGGTACTAAAAGTACGAATAGTACATACTAGTACCACGAGCACCACTGGTACTACTACTAGTAGTGGTAGTGGTATTCGTAGTGGTAGTCGTGGTAGCAGTGGTAGCAGTGGTAGCAGTAGCAGTAGCAGTAGTAGTAGTAGTAGTAGTAGTTGTTGTTGCAGTAGTTGTTGCAGTTGTAGTAGTTTGTAGCAAGTAGCAAGTCAGTTGTGACAAGTAGTCAGTACTAAGTCGTAATAGTAGTAATATCAGTAGTAGTAGTAGTAGTAGTAGTAGTCGTCGTCGTAGTCGTCGTCGTCGTCGTAGTAGTAGTAGTAGTAGTCGTAGTAGTACTAGTACTATTACTACTAGTACTACTACTGCTGCTACTGCTCCTACTGCTACTGCTACTGCTACTGTTACTCCTACTACTGCTGCTGTTGCTGCTGCTACTACTACCACCACCACCACCACAACTACTGCCACCACTGCTACTACTAGTACTACGACGACGACGACTACTACTGCTCTACGAAACCTACTACCACCACGACGACGACGACGACTACTACTACTACGACTGCTTCTGCTCCACTTTTTCGACTGCTTCCACTGACGGTGGCGCTGCTTTCCTACCGCCGCCGCAAAGTGCGAAACAGCCTGGAACAGGCCGATGGATTGGGACTTCCTGTCCTTCACAGCACCTCGGATTGTTGAGGTTGGTCGTGGTCGAGCGCCGAGCCAAGTGTTAGGATCATCTTTCCCTATACTCCCAATATCAATATTGATGAAGAACTTAGTCCGTTTAAGAAAGTTGACTCGAAAAGCTCTTCTGCTACGACTAAGAGGTTGAAGCCTCGGGATGACGTCGGGATGCCATGGTGAATGGCATGCATAGCCTAGCCTACGGAAGAGAAACTTTGCTGCTAATGCCGGTTGCGATCGATGTCGTGTCCCTCAGATTCGATCCTAGCATCCGACCAGCGGATTCCCCAACTTGCGAGCGAGAGCGGAGTTGAATGGTAGAGTGCTCTGAAGGCGCCGATCAAAAAAAAGGGGAAGCACTTTCGGCAGCCAGGAGCGATGGCAGCGCGATGCCCAGCGCCATGGCATCGCTATTCTGATCCCCGAGTCTCGTGGCCCGACCTGGGACTACTTGCTCACAGGGCAGCGTCAGGCCGGTCCTTCGAAGGATGTGTTGAGCTCCGAGGTCCTAGCCCCGACGTACACAATACATGTGTGTATTGTATATATATATGTGTGTGTGTGTGCATGTGTGTCAAACTCAACCTTGATAACATGTTTCAGTGCTTCATATTTAAATACATGTGCATGTTTGTATATGCATGTATATGTACGTATGTACATGCACACGCATAAATATGAGTATTAAGGGTGTTTCGTTAGAGGCGGCAAATCGGTTGATCTCACCTGAGGGATGTCCGAGCGGTGTCGACCTATCCTCCCCTAGACTGTCCGAGTGCTATAGAGTCTAAACTCCCTAAAGACCAGACGAAGCCTTGAACCTCCCTGCACGAAGGCTGGCATCTGAACCTTCGACGCCCCGCTAGCCAAGGTCCTACACACCCGCATGGCTGGGTGGCCTTACTTCAAGCAGTCTTCAAGCTATCAAGACCACCATGCTTAACAAAACGCTGGCCGCTGCAAGTGTTCGTACAGGTTTATACAGTTCGAAAAAGACCCGGCATTCCGAAGACAACGAAACGTTTACAGAGAGCTGAAGCGTCTTCTGTTGTTCTGCTCTCCGACGAGGACATGGACTTTATCCAGTTCGCCATGGGCGAGGTCTGCAGCCCGGCTGATGAAGGATTTTTGAACCGTCTTGCATTTGGTTCTGAGTTCAGGGATCTTAACTGTGATAGCATCTAACCAAGACTAAATGCCACTTCAGGTGGCTTGCAAAGCCACTCCTCTTTGCTTGGGCCGTCAGCGAAGCTGACGAAACCCAGTTTCCGTCAGCCGCCCCCGGCCCCAGGCCGCCAGGTGCCGATAAACGGCAGCAACATCGCAGTGATGGGCATGTCAGATGGAGGCTCCCTGGGGCTCTCCATGGCACCGTGGCGCCATTTATCCTGCTCCACGAGGTTCTGAGCACTTGCCAGCCCTGAAGCCCTCATTGTGAGCAGACAAGCATCCGAAGCCACGTCCAACAGCCTCGAGCTCTCGGTCACGCTGCCTGCCGGGCTCAAAACTGGAAGCGGCTTTCAGGACACCGCTGGGAACTAGTTGCGACTAGGCCCCAGCTACTGAAGATGACGCGGCCCAAGAACAACTACTCGATCTCCTGCCTCGGGTTGCGCTTAGCCAAGGCGCTTCGGAATCCGTCGCTCTTCAGAACGGCGCTCCTCGGTGTGAGCTACGGTTCAGGGTTAGCTTTTGGGAATTCCTGTGAGGCTCGTTATGTTTACGCGATCGGCAGCGCGTGAACATCACATGTCGCGCTTGTCTTGCTCACATTCGGTTCTGTGCTCTCGTTCATTTCGGCCCTTTTTGACTCAGTCAGGTGTAGTTCTTTTTGTCGATACCGTACTCCGCCTGTGCCGTCTGCAGCAGCTCTTGGCACTTCTGGCGCCTCCTTTTGCGAGCTTTCGTCAAAGAGTTGTGTAGATACCTGCGCCAGGTTGATTCGGGTTCTTGGTTCGTAAGGTTTAGGGTCTGCATCAATGCCGTGGGCCGGCTGCAGACGGCACTGCATGGATCCGAGTGTTTGAGGCTGGCCATGCTGGTGCGAACTTCCACCCAGCAGGGCTTGGTATGCATGCTCATAGCGAGCCTTCTTGTGTCTACGTGCGAAGGCAGCAACTGCTCGTTGCACACGGATGCTGCCAGCTTGTTGCAGTACAGCTCGCAGGCTGGCATGGGGCCACCGGCACGGCACTCGGCTTCCCAGATTCTCGTCGACATACATTCGCTCGAGCCTGATGTCTACCAATGGCAGCTTGCCCTCGAGCGTGGCAGCGTCCGGTGCCCATCCGAGCTGCAGGTCACGGAATGGAACGGCCGGATTGGAAACAATTACTTCCAGGTGAGCCATGCCTTGGTCGCAGCTTTCTTCTGCCATACACCCATGGTCAGGTTTCCCAAACACCTAGAGGAGGGATACCAGGAGCAAAAGGGCCTCCTGAACATGCCTGAGAGGCTGCTGCTTAGAACCACCGAGCATGGCAAGCTAACAACTCCCAGCAGCTGCCCTTCTGACTTCTCGCACAAGTGGTACTTTAGCCATTGTCGACGGGTCCCTGCCTGGCATCATCGCTACGTAATGCAGGCCTTCGTTGTGCCTTACCTAGGCCAGCGATTGGCGGAGCTCGTCCATGCACCGAGTAGGCAAGCCGAAGGCGCGGGCCGCCTGACGATCCACCTGCGGGCCGACGACATCAAGGACCACGCCAAGTTCGAGTGGGGCCAGCCCCCCTGCAGCATGTACCAGAGAATCATCCTGGACCATGGGTTCAGGAACGTTTTGGTGGTTGCAAAGCGAAAGTCTGAAAGACAGAGAAGCACGGCTGCTTGCGACAGCTGGCTGGTCGAGTTTGGGCGAAAGCACCATCTCAATCTGAGTCGCAGTACCGGGGAGTCGCTGGTAGAGGATTTTGGCTCGCTGCTTCAGGCACAGAACCTGGTCCTCTCCTTCTCCAGCTTCGCCCTGTCTGCCGCACTTCTTAGCAATGACATCCGGGTGATGTACCGCCGGCGAGATGCCAAATGGGACAGCATCCTTCAGTCGATCTTGAACTGCGATGTGTGGCCTGGTGTGGTCATGTATGAGTACAACACTACACTGCAGAAGAAGGATGTCATGGACATCGCGCCTTCGGCCAGCGAGTGGCTAGCATCCTTCCCCGTAGACGAGGTCTCTGGGCCCTTCACTTGCCACTTTGGCAGTGAGATGCAGCCCGAAGCGTGAGACAGCGAGGCTCCATGCAACAAAAAAGCCTGAGCACCCCCCCAGATCCGACATCCAAACAAGCCGTGGGCATCGCACCGTTCGCATCGGAGTGTATGTTCAAACACCAGCAGGGTGTAGGGTCTGGTAGTCCTTGTAAGGAGCCCTGATGTGCATGCCTTAGCTTCCAGAACGACTGTGAAGCTTAGAAGCCTGAACAAAAACCTGACGTAGGCCCTGATAGTACCCTTGTGGCAACCCTTCTAGTGGCCCCTACGGAAACTGTCGGGGGGGAACCCGAAAAAGAGCCCCTGAACCCTAAGCCCTAAACCTTTAAACCCTAAACTCCCTAAACGCGTACTAAACCCTAAACCCCTAAACCCCCTAAACCCCAAATCCCCAAAAACCCCCTGGTCCTAAACCCCCAAACTCCCTAAACCCCCAAAACCCCCCCACAAAACTCCCAGACTGGCTGTTGGCCCCCCGGGAGGCTGGTTCAGGCTGTGGGCTTCTTCGTGGACGCACGCGGCGATCCTCCAGAAAAGCCGCGAGCATCCCGGCGCCGCATGGAGCTGATGGGTTGTCCCGAATTAGGTTGCAAGGGTCTAGGCCTGCTCATGAGGTTAGCGATTTTGGGTTGTTGGGCTTTCCGAGTTGTTTTGGTTGGTGGTAGGATTTCAAGTCTTACAGGGTTTTGAGTGCTCTTGCTTGTATTTCAGGGCCCTGCTCCAAAAGCAAAAGGGTTTAGCGGTCAGGCTCGCCTTTTTTGAGGGTTCGCGTTGAAGGCTTCAGGGTGTAGGTAGCCGCTGCGCGCTTAGCCTCCTCACACGTGATCCCCGAGATTGCAACGGACTGAAGTTGGGGTTTCTTGCACTTGGGGGGGTCGCTTGCATCGGGGTTCTTACCAGAACTCCGATCTTACTGTTAAGGCTTTCAAGGGTGTGTGTGTATATATATATACACACAATTCTGTGTATATAAATAAACATGCACATATCGATTGATTGATTGCTTGATAACCTGATTAGTTGGTTAGTTGACTATAGTTCATGGATTAGTTGATTAGTCGATTGAGTGACTATAACTGATTGATTGGACTGTGGTTCCCTAAACCCTCTAAACCCTAAAGCCTAAACAGAAACACCTATTCCGGACACCCCCTGGGCAGATGGAAAAGAGGCGATAAAAA